AGTCAAATCTATCACATCAAATGTTGCTGGTGTAAATATGTAAATAAGGATTAAATATTTAGTCTTATTTTACTTAAATTATTCAGGTGTTACTGTTCACTTAAAAATTCTATTAATCTTAATTAATTCCTAAACGATCCTTAATTAAGTAAATATCAATTATTCAGAGTCACACAATCACAAAAAAGTTAATCAGAGTTTGCACTTACTAAAAGTATTAATCAAGCATAAATATAAAGTTGTTCAGCAATTACTATGTAATTCTTTTCCACTCTTACATGCAAAAAGTTCTTGTGGCAGGTTTCTTGTATTATAAAGTCCTTAATGTTTCTCAGATTTTTCAAGTCACCAAAGAGTCACGGTTGCCAAAAATCATAGTCCAAATTTCGTCTCCTTAATACCGTCCATACACTATTTTTAGTCAGTTAGTCCACATATTAAATCCTCCGTTGTTGTCTTAAATCACCGCTTTTCTGCTTGCCGTTCTGTTGCGCCACTCTCACTTACTCTCGCCGCTTCAATGGCGCCGCTGCTCTCACTTTCACTCTCGCTGTTTTGTCTTCCTGTCTTTTCCTTTCTGGATACTTTCATCTGTCACTCTACGATTCTTTATTCAAAGAAGTCCAAGCGCCTTCCTTCTCTTATCAGTCCAAATCCAAAGTCTGGTAGGTTCTTCTTAAAGTTTTTTAAAGTTTCTCGTCTTAAACAGTCTCCCTCTTTTTCGCATAGTCACCACCTGTCAATTTCCTTCGCCCTGTTGTCTTCAGTCGCCGCTCTCTGTTTTCTTTGGGGTCACACTTTCTCTGCTTTCCGTTTTCTGATACACTTGTTGCTGTGCTTTACTCACTCGTTTCTGTCTCGATCGATTCCAAATTAAACTGGATACAGTTGTGATTCCTTGGATTGATCTTCGCCTCCCTGCTGTGTGGTTTCAACGCCTCGGGCCAGCCAAAATGGCTGGTTTTTTCCCGTCCGGAATTAGGGGGTTTCTCCTGAACCTTCGGAGTGGTTGCCTTCCCCCCGAGGGCCTTGGAGATTCCTCCTTATTCTATTGATCTCTCCAAGATCAAGGGCGCCTAAATCAGCTTCTTAGGTGGGAATCCTGGATTTTCAAGAACGGAGCCCCGTTCTCTAGATCCAGCTGCGCTGACGTCACCGCCGGAAGTCCTTGATTCTTATTTTTAAAAGTTAATTGACTGGTTGAAGACTGATTTATGTTAACCCCTTGCTGATTTTAAAGTCAACTTTCTTTTATTTCTTAATTAGTTGTGAATCACTTTAGCTTTCCTTGGCAACTTTCTGAATAGTGAAACTGACCAGATTGGATTTACATCTATATTGGATTTTACAACAGGGTTTAACTCGTAAAACACTTTGGTCTTTGGTCTAAATTTTTAGATGGAACTTATATTTTTCTTCACATCTTCATTGTGAGAAATATCATTTTAATGTTCACTGTGGCTATTTTGTTACAATACATTTAACTTTTTTTGTCTTTGAAAGGAATTGTTTTCTTTGATTGTGTAAGCTCAGATATAGGAGCATCCGCTTTATATTAAAAATGTAAACTATGCACCAACTTAAAGATAAAATCTGGTGGGTTGCCTCCAGGAAAAAAATGGTTTTTAATCTACAAGCTAAAATTGAAAACTTTGGTAAAAAGCTTGATAAAATTGCCAGGGTTTCAAATCAACTTAAAGAGGATACCCAATGAAAACAATGCAGCCAAGTCAGACCTACAATTGGATGGACTGGAATTTATGTTGTTGCTGGCAAATTTGAAAAAGAAGCAGTTTGGCTGGAAAACAGAAGGGCTGTTGCAGAAATCTGAAGGAGATCTGGATTTTACAGTCTTAGAATTGGCAGATTGGATGAATGATGAATTGGACTGTCAACCGTCCCATTTGGCACATAGAAAAAAAAGAGATTCCTGGCACATAGGAACTACCAAGAGTAAAATTTTACTGAAAGATCCATTTAGGCACAGCAGAAGCAAAATCAGCTCTGAGGTTTTCCCATGAAAATGAATGGCTGCCCATAGTTCATTGTCCACCAATTGCAATCAATATCTTTGTTGTGGGAAAACTGCGTCGGCTGGTAGCTCCAAGAATGTGGCCTTGGTGGGTATCTACTCTCCATTGGCAGGAGGCTCTCATGCATTCCTTAGCCCTCCCTTGCCCTAGTAATTTACCAACCACCCTTCTGTTTCTGTTTGGCAAACTGTGTGCTGGAATTTAATACAGGCAACAATGAAAGCAAGTCAACTTTGACATGCTGATCCTCCAGAGAAATGATAGTCCTAGAAAATAAACACAAAGGTACACATCACATTAGACAATATTTGTCTTCTCCTCTCCTGGGGACAACTTGGATGTTTGACATGAAATCTGCACACTAAACTAGCCACCTTCACTTCTATTCCAGGCACCCATTCTGCATTGGCTAAGGGATAACCCTCCCCAACACCAAATATTGCAGTTTTCGCCTACGGTATTGGGACTCTAGAATCCCCTTGATTTCCTAGTGTGTAGATCTGGATGCTTTATTGAAAGAACATGATATGGTGAAACTGGGGAAAATAGGGATATGTACAATGAGAACCAAATACAAGATAAACAGTATTAAGTTACTGTTGAACATAACAATTAATAAATACAAGCAATTTAAATCTCACCAGCGATGCTGTGTGTGGGATGTGGGTTTGTCCTTGAATGAACATGTGCCACAGATTAAGATGGATTCTTCTTTATGCTTCTGCCTTCTCCAAATTCTAAAGGGAATGGAGTCTGGCTTCCCAGCATGCACTTGTTTTGAGAGTGCGGGCTGCTGGATAAGGGTTAGGGTTAGGGTGTTATTTGTTTTGGACTCCAGCAGGTGACAGATATGCTGCACGAACATCTTCACCAGGGACCAGGTGGAGGGAATCTTCGGGCATGCTACAAAATATGCCTGCAATTTGGCTGAAAGTTTTCCCGGAAGGAACTCCCACTGCAAAGAATGCTGATAAACTTAGTGGGTTTCTCTGCGTCTACCTTCAGCTTGATTAGTAGTGTTTCAAATCCTAAAATTTCTGATTCACTCTTCAAGTAAACCACAACTGGGCTTGTCCATAGATTAAGATTAAGATTAAGGGTCATCCAAGTTTACGGTTGTTCCGGACGTTGGCTTCTTCATCCCTGAGCTGCCTTAGCTAGCCCACCATGGTAGAGCTGAGGCGACGAGGCAATAAACAACCTTAGATGGTGGGAAGGCCTCTAGGACCCAGGGGAGCACAGGCAGCTGGGAGCCAGATTGCAAATTCGTCTCCGTGACTCCATGACTCAGATTAGAAACCAAGAGTCTCAGATTCAAGTCTTATAATCTTTTTGCCTTTGGAGGGCTCGAGGCTCTTCCCTTCCTTTCGATGGCTGATAAATATACAGTCTCTGAGGTAAAAAAGTATCCCCAGGGATGCAAACGGAGTTACCTTGATGTAGCTAGTATTCGTTGTGCCGTCGGCGTTCTTTTCCCAAAGTTGCATTTATCTAATCTGCTTTCTTTCCAATGTTTGTTGGCAAGAAGACGTTTTAGGTCTTGAAATGTGCGAACTGCTGGTTATCTGCTCTTTCTCCCACACATTCCTTTCACCGCCTCAGTTGGTTTCTCCCCTCCTCCTCCTCAAGATGTTCTTTGTTTGATATATTGATCCCTTGCTCACTCATTTCTTGTTTAGTTTTGAGTACGCCCTTTTCATTCAAAATATCTTTATATCTAACAATATTTTCCATATTAATAACATTTGGGTGAATCAATGCTTCCATGGTTGAAAGTATGAAGGATCTTAAACTCTAGACTATATAAGGGAAAGCTACTGTGATGACACAGGGCATGGCACAGAGATAACACAAACAGCTGGCAGTTCAAACAGCCCCTTTATTGCTCCAAATCTCCCCAAATACATTATTGGCAAACTTCAAAACAGAGTGAGAACAAACCCTCAAACAGCCTCTGGCTGCAATTACTCCAGCCCAGTGCTGTCTGCACCCAGGCCAGGGATGAAATGCTCCTGGTTCGGACCGGATCACCCGGTCCAGTAGCGATGGCAGGTGGTGGTTTGGAGAACCGGTAGCCTCCCCCTCCCATGCCCAGCTGAGCCACGCGATCATCAGAGGCTTTTTTTTTTTTACTTTTAAAAGCATTTTTTCTACAACCTTTTCGGCCGAAAAAATGCTTTTAAAAGTTAAAAAAAAAAGCCTCTGATGATTGCGCGGCTCAGCTGGGATTGTCAGAGGCTTTTAAAAGCATTTTTTTCTGCAACCTCTTAAGGTTGTAGAAAAAATGCTTTTAAAAGTAAAAAAAAAAAAAGTTGGCCACCCCCACCCAGTCATATTACCCACCCCCACGAAGCCACGCCCACAGAACCGGTAGTAACAAATTTTACATTTCACCACTGACCCAAGCTGCACAGCAAGAAATCCCAAGTGTATTTGGCAAAACAAGAGCCAAGCAAGGAGTTCAAGGAGCAGAAGATCCAGATAATTAGTCCAGAACTAATTAGAAAACCACCCAACCAAAGAATTTCCAAGACCACCTCCACCCACATAGATAGGCAAGTCACAGAATATAAAATGACAGCAAACAACACTCCTTACTTGCACTGATGATGTTACCTAGTTAGGATAATGAAACATCTGCAAATAAAAAAAAGAAAGCTCAGAGAGCACCAAGGACCCCTCACTTCTGTAGTTGTTGCAATACAAAATACATTCCAACATGCATTCCAAGAAATTGGATAGCCATCCTTCTATAGTTATCTATATCCATCTCAGTTGCCAGTCATTTCCAAATTTTTCCTCCCCAGAGTTCTCCAAGTTGGATTTTAAAACAATTTACAGTATATAAACAAAGAACTGATAACTGTTTGCTTGATCTGAAATATATTAATATTTTTAGATATTTTATTGTTTTAGTCCTGAAAATCACTCAAAGAGTTCTATTAAATAATTCTTATTTTTAACTAGATGGGCAGAATGGCATCCAGGTTTTCCTTTGAACATAGATGCCAAATCTCATAAGGAATTGCCTCGCAACATCCAATTTGACAGTGAAAAGGGTGTCGATTTTATCTTGAATTACACCAAAGCGTGAGTATAGTAATGACTCATATTAGGTTGAGACCTGTTGGAAGAAATATCCTTCTGGGTTCAGTTACAAGTGGGGAAAAAGACACTGGAAACATGGAGACTGCTTGGAAAGATGGTTTAATGGTGGATAGGAATCACATGGCTTGAGTTACTGAACAGAAAAGGCAATCACATGCTTGAAGATGTTGGGTGAAGAACCGAAAGGGTCAAGATGCTTAGTGCCTGAGTTTATACCCTCTGTTGGGTATAGTGTTTCCTGTTCCTGTATAAGAAATGTTTCCTGATTGGTTGTCAAACTTCCAGGGGGCAGGGGTCTTAGCTAACTTTGTAGATTGTCTCTCAAGCTTGCTTGAGCCTTGCCATGTGGTGAGTTTCTATTGCTAGTGAGTTTCTGTTGCTAGATGGGTCCTATTGTGTTGCAGATGATGGCCCATTGACAAAGGTGGGGGGAGGCAGGAAGCTGCAGGGAGCTGCTTTGTCTTTAAAACATGTTTCTCCATTTCTCATCCAGGGAAATATAATATTCTGCCTTTTTAATATTTCCTAAAATATTTCATTCTTCTAGGAGAGGGGTGGATGCTAACTTCCTACAGACCATAGTTTGGTTCTGAATCATAGAATCATAGGGCTGGAAGGGACCTCAGAGATCCTCTAGTCCAACCCCCTGCCCAAGGCAGGGTTCTTATACCATCCAGGACAAATGATTCTATTTTTTCTTGAAAACATCCAACTATGGAACACCCACAACTTTGGGAGGCTGTCCCATTGATTAATCGTTCTCACTGTCAGGAAACTCCTCCTTATTTCCAGGTTGGATCTCTTTCTGACGAGATTTCACCCATAGCTTCTTATTGTGCCCTCAAATACTATAGACAGTAAATCCCCCCCCCTTTCCTGTAATAGTCCTTCAGGTTTGGAAAACGGCTATCAGGTCTCCCCTAAGCCCTCTCTTTACTTTCTGTTGTTTCAGTTTCTGAGAGGGCACCCAGCCCTGTAGGATCAGTTCCTCACAGAGCTCCTCATGACAAACTCCTCTGATTTTGCAACAGGTTCTATTCTCAGATCCTGTAAAGTTTTTTGTTTTTTTTAAAGGAGCCTCCAATGTTTAAGGAGGCTCCATTTTCTAAGGAGGCTCCAATTGTTTGTGCAGTTTTGGGACCTCCTTAAAAAATGGAGCCTCCTTTTAAAAAAACTCTACAGTATTGTGAGAATGTTGCAAAATTGGAGGAGTTTGCCCTGAGGCTAGTTCTGTAAGGAACTAATCCTGGAGGGCAGGGTTCCTCCCTTAGAAATTGAAACAACAGAATGGTAATGTCAGGGAATTGCACAGCTATTCTAGTTGAATTGTATCCAACTAGAATCAGAGACACTGTCAAGAACTTGTGGTTTATATAAATAAATATATTTACAGTAAATAAAAGAGGCAAACAGGAACATAGTCAGATAAATCAACACAGCAGGAATATCATCAGGCAAATCACAGAGCGCATACAGAGCACACAGAGCAAAAAGGCAGGAAACAAGGAAATTATGCAGTCTGCATCAACAGACAATATCAAGATCTCAAGATAGTAAGATCACACTAGGAATATTGCACCCATCACAATACAAAAAAGATGCTGAAGCCCTAGAAAAAGTGCAGAGAAGAGCAACAAAGATAAGGTATCTAGTGGGTAAATCATACAACTGAGGGAAGGACAAGAAGCAATGGGTGAAAACTCATCAGACAGAGATCCAACCTGGAACTAAGAAGGAATTTTCTGACAGTGAGAACAATAAATCAGTGAAATCACTTGCCTCTTGGAGTTCTGAGTCCTCCAACGCTGGAGGTTTTCAAGAAAAGATTGGACAACCATTGTCCAGGATAGTATAGGGCCGTGTTGGCGAACCTATGGCAGATGTGCCAGAAGTGGCACGCAGAGCCATTTCTCCGGGCACACGGAGCCATCACCCGTTGTTGTTCTGGGTTCCACTACGGCGGTCATCTGGTTTTCATGTGCATAGGCATGCTGGAAATTGGAAGAGCAGCCGCCCATTGCACATGTGCACTTCAGGAAAATGATCTTCCTGTTTCCAGATTGTGCATGTGCACTGGCCAGCTGGTCTGATTTCTGGCGCGCACACAAAGACCAGCAATTGGTGCGCGTGCCAAAAGAGGGAATCCTGGCGGTCACTTCCTAAAGGAGCAGAGCAAGGTAAGCCAGGGATTCCCTCCCTCCCTGCCCGCGCGAGCTACTTGCACGGTCCCAGGCAGTCCGGACCACTGATGGACCAGCAGCCTTTTGCCCATGCTGCTCCCCCAGTCAAAAGAGGGTACGGGGAAACACGCGAGGAGGCCGCGGTTGGTGCCAGCCAGGCCCGCCTGCCTTCTCCGGTTGGTGGGCGGCTGAGGCTTGCAATGAATGGTGCAAGCAGGACTGCAGCTCCGCCCCCGGGCTGTAAATGCGCCTTGCAGCAGCGGAGGCTCGTAAGAGTCAAACCCTCCTGCCTGCCTTACGACGGGCCTTTCCAAGGCAGGGCTGGGCTCTTCAACCTTGGCAACTTTGAGAACTCTGGGAGTTCTCAAAGTCCACAAATCTTAAGGTTGCCAAGGTTGGGGACCCCTGTTCCAAAGGGCGCCTGCAACCCGCGACTGAAGGAGCTGGAGTTGTGGCTGTGCCGGCCGTCTCACCCCCCCCACCCCATTCGGCTCCCTTCCCCCTGGCTGCCCCCTCCCGCCATCGGGCTCGGCGCCTACAATCGCCACAAGTGGGAATCATCCGCACTGCCAGCAGATCCTGGGTTTCCTCCGCGCTGCATTCTGAGGGACCCAGCAAGGGAGTGTCAGGACCCCGGCCATGCTGCGCTCTTTCCCGAGGCGGCCCCGGCTGGACCGCTGCCCGGCCCGGCGAGCAGAGAGTGAAGGGGGGAGTCTCCGGCCGGCCCGGCACCTGCTCTCTGCTTGGAGGACCCGCTCTTGGCCTCCGACTGAGGGAGTCAGCCCTCTCCATGGGGAAACCCACAGCAACATGCAGGGAGAGGCAGCCCGGCTCTGGCTGTTGGTTGGGGGGCTCGGGCCCCGAGCAACAGCGGCTCCTGGCCTCGCTGGCGTGGGGCAGAGGGAGCGCGGGGGAGTTGGTGAGGGCCACTCAGAGGAACCTTTGGGGAGGTTTCAGCAGCCTGAGATTGAATGAAAAAATCTGGAGAAGCTAATAAACTAAACAATTGTTCTGATACAGAATTTTCAGGCGGCAGCGCGGAGGAGCCCAAGCAAGGGCTTGGGGTCGTAGCAGAACGAGGAGCCAAGCCCGTCTCCGCCAGGGTACCTGCCTCTCTCCCCAATTCTTCTTGCCAGCCCTGAGCGCCCAAGGGAAGTGCCAGGTGGCTATTTTGAAAGGGGCGGGAATGGTTTATGCAAGCCACGGGATAAGTGCATTGCATTTCAGGCAGTGGCTGGTCCCAGCCTGCGCTGCCACCTGAAAATCCTTTCTTCCCTGGAAATGCACATTCCAGAGCCGCCTGTCCTTCTCCTCCTCCTCCGCAGACTCATTTTCTCTTTCCTCTTTCCGAGGCAGCAAAGGCGCAGGGGGCTTCCCAGGAAGCCCAGCACCCAGCAGGGAGGACCCCAAGCAAGGATTTGGGATCGCAGCAGAATGAGGAGCCAAGCCCGTCTCCGCCGGCACACCTGCCTCTCCCCCCCTTCTTCTTGCCGGCCCTGAGCGCCCAAGGGAAGCGCCGGGTGGCTATTTTGAAAGTGCGCCGGCGGAGACGGGCTTGGCTCCTCATTCTGCTGCGCTGGCGAGTTCGCAGGCAGGGCCGAGAGCGCTGCTGCCGGCTTGGGAACAGCTGTCTCGCCAGGGTAACTGGTCGTCCTCCGGTAAGTGGTGCGCCGGCCCTCTTGGAAAAAGTGGGGGCGCATGTGTGGCGGGTGCACACATGCACAGTGGGGGTTGCATATGCGCATGTGCAGTGTGAGGTGCATGCGCATTAGGAGCATGGGGTCATGTGCGCATGCACAAATGGGGGCGCCCATTGCATTATGGGTGCTGGCACGCCCTCGAGTGCTCGGACTTTTGGCATGCAACGCCAAAAAGGGTCACCATCACTGGTATAGGGACTCCTTCCTTGGGCAAAAGTTGGACTAGAAGACCTCTAAGTTTGTTTCCAGTCCTATGATTCTATGATACTTTTGCTTCTGACCTTATTTATTTTTTGCTTCAGCTCTACCCAACATATTGCTGCCCCTGAGATTGTACCAAAATGGAATACAATTCTTGTTGGGGGAGTATCTTTTTACTTAATTAATTTAAAACATTAATATAGCTGCCCATTTTATACCCAAGTCTAGGTGGCTCCTATCCTTGATTTAAATCTAAGGCTGCTTGTTTGGTTTAGTTCCAGAAAAGGAAAGGAGACCCTGTGGATTTTACTCCGCTAGTCATAACCTTATCTCAGTTTCAAGGGTCATTGAGACATTGCTGTCCAAAGATATTTCCGTGATCATGTGGCCGGCATGGCATCACAGAGTGCTGTTTCCTCCCTATCAAAGTTTGTACCTATATATCTACTCACATTTGCATGTTTTTGAACTGCTAAGTGGACAGGATCTAGGTGAAGACTGGAGCTTACCCTGTCACACAACACTCTGATTTCAAACCCTGGCTGTTGGCTTTCCAGCCAACAAACCCAGTGTCTTAACCACTGAGTCATTGCACCGTTCTGAAGTTCCAGAGCTGAAGTAAAATTCATGATTCCTGTTGACTTACACTGGAAATCACAAATGTTTCTCTAACATCAGCATGAAAATTTTAGGTTAAATAGAAACTTTAGAAGAGCCAAAGGTTGCCTGGTTTATTTAGATTTTGAAGCTTTTACATTCTAACAATTGACTAGGGCAAAATTAGATGAAATTTTCAAGTAAAAATCACACCCCTGAGGATAATCTCTATAACATTTCAGATAGGATGGGGCACTCATGCTAGATGCTACAAATTGGAGAGGATTCATTTAACCTCTTTTTTGCTGGTAACATTTGTGGAAACTATAGAAGTTGTAATATAAAATACCTTTGCTTGCAAAAAGTTTCATGTACCTTTTGGAAAAGAGGCTTTCCTTCCAAAATGGGTAGGAACACATTTTGCTTTATATCTCTACTACTAGAATAGTTAGTAAATTGAGTATCAGAAGATTATATTTTATCTAGGAGTCGGCCTAGAACATAAAAGTTGTAAAACACTGAATTCCAGAAAAAGATAGGAATTATCTTTAGAATCATATAGCATTCCTTCAATTATCAACCATGACTAGCAGCAGGATAGAACGATATGCAAGGATTTTTGTACATCTGAGTGTGGTATAAAAACAGTTGTACTGTACATTCTGATTTGTAACCAGATTCTGATTTCCAAGAATTACAAATGCAAAATAATATTTTAAACAATTAAAAATTGTGTGAGACATGAAAGAAAGTCATGTTATAACTATAACCATGTGGTATGCTGTTTTTGGGATTTTAGAATGGAAAATCTCTATATCAATCGTTTCATGCATATGTTCCAATCCTCCTGGAGTGACTTCGCAGATTTTGAGAAGATCTTTGTCAAAATAAGTAATACAATATCTGGTGAGTTTTGATAATTGTTGATAATTTGCATGAAAAATGAGATATATATTTCAGATTTTAAGGCACTGATATAATAAAATCAGTCCCAAATCTGATGCTTACAGATCTGATAAACACGTTTGTCAATTTTTGTTAGCTTAATACTGTACTTCAAATCCCAGAGAAACACAATTAAAAACAACTGTAATTTATAGAAATTTATGTTTTATTTCTAAATTATTTCCAAACTTTTTATGTATGAGGGTAGTTATAGAATCTTACGTGAATCTTATGGATGCAATTCATAAAGTTCATGGATATGGGAATTCACAAAATGGTTTTCGTGTGGATCAGCCTATTGGTAAAGTAATCATAACATATAAAAGGACAGACAAATGCCTATAATGATATGCACATTACAAATAATTTTAATATAAAACAGGATAAAAATATAGAGTCCTCCAGCCTACCAAACTGAAATATATAAATAAAATACTTATCAAGCCCATATTGAAATAGTTCTAATATGGGCAAGCTACATATCATTCTAAGACATATCACTTTATTTTACACAATACTTAAATTTATCTATTAAAGTAAAAAAGATCAATTACATTTTTGTAATTCATTTTCACACAATTTTCACACAATGAAATCAACAAAACTCATTCTACAGAATACAACAATTGACACCTGTTGATATATCATAAACTTAAGGAATTGATGTATTTCACATCTTTGCTTTGTGTAATGTATAATCTTACAAATTTCTGCAGAAATACATAAATTGGTGAAATTCAATATTTTATTTTATTTTATAAAGCTGGAAAGTTCTACCGTTGTTTTATTATAGATGTTTCGTGTGTGTGTGTATTCTATGTTATATTGTATGTTTCTTGCCTAATCCTAATAAAATAAATAGTTTTACTCCTGGGGAAGCCCATCAAATCATTTACCATTGTAAAGAGTTGCAATATAGGTAGTCCTTGAGTTTTAACAGTAATTGGGTCTAGAATTTCTATCACCAAGTGGTATGATCAAATAGTGTGATGTTAGAAAATTGCTTAACCATCCTGGCAGTCCCCATTCCCTTCATTAAGCAAGGATCAGAGATCATTAAGCAATGATCTTCTCAAAACTTCCTGCTAGTTTCCAACAATCAAAGGCAATGGGGAAGCAGGTATGACATGGTCACTCTCACCCAAGGGTCTTGCAGTTTCAGTTCTTCTCTGTTTTTGAGAATTAAGTCCAGTATGACTGTCCCTCTAGTTTCCTCCTCTACCTTTTGGACAACAAAGTTTTCAGCTGGGTTGATCAGGAACCTATCCAATTTCTCACTAGGTGCAGAATTAGTCTTCCAGTTGATGTCAGGGTTATTGAAGTCCCCCATTACTATTGTAGTGTGTTTCCTACATTTATTTGTTAATTAGTTAGCAAAAAGTACATCTATTTTTTCTGCTTGGTTGGTTGGCCTGTAGTATACACCTATGGCAATGTCATTCTTTTTTTCTTTTATATTGACCCATATGCATTCTAGGAGGTTTTCATCTTTGGTTTTGTGTATTTCTGTAACAATGTAGTGGTCCTTTACATACAGTGCAACTCCACCTCCTCTTTTATGGAATCTGGTTTTTTTGAACAGTTTGTATCCTTATATCAGTATGTGCCAGTCATGGGTTACATCCCACCAAGTTTCCGTTATTCCAGCTAATCATATCTACCTTCATGTATTAATACTTCAAGTTCACCCTGTTTGTTCCCCAGACTTTGTGCATTTATATGTAGGCACTTGAGATCTTTATGTCTGACTCTGTGTATATGCTTCCTATGTCTCCTATTCAGTGTTTGAGTTTGTCTTCCTTCCCATCCCTCCTCACTTCATTATTTGTCTTGCTTTCTAGGGTTTTTTGCTTGGAATTAGGTCCTGGAGATCCTAAACATTGGTCACCCTCCCCCCTCAATTTTAGTTTAAAGCCCTCCTGTTAAGTTGAGCCAGTCACTTTCTGAAAACATTCTTCCCAGTCTTTGTGAGGTGCAGCCCATCCCTTGCCAAAAAACCATAATGGAGATAGTACAGACCATGGTCCAGGAATCCAAATTTTTTTTGGCGACACCAACCCTTTAACCAGTGGTTCACTTCTAGAATTCTTTATTCTCTTACCGGATGTTGTCCTTTTGTTGGCAGTATAGATGAAAAAACTACTTGTGCACCTAAGTCCTTAACTTTCATGCCTAGCTGCTTGTAATCACTCAATATTGTTTTCAAGTCCTTTTTTGTGTCATTCGTCCCTACATGTAGTAGTAGAAAAGGGTAGTAATCTGGGAACCTAATTATTTTGGTTAGGTTCTCAGCCACATCCTTGATTTTTGCTCCAGGGAGACAACATACCTTCCTAGATTGTATGTCCGGTCTGCAGATAGCTGGTTCTGTTCCTTTGAGAATAGAATCTCCTATCATCAACTATCGCCTTCCTTTTTTAGGGGATGCAGTCGGGGGTGCTTTTCCGTTTATCCCTGGTGAGTTTGTTGATATGACTTTTTAAGGGATATTAGATGATGTCTCTTTTCTAAGTGTTTGCATGTTTTCTTTGAGGGGGAGTTTGTGGGACTGAGTATTTTCAACTGAGGGGAGAAATTGGTTGCTCAGTTGTTGTTTTTTTTTATTGAAAAGTTTTACAAAAAGTTTACATATTTCCCCCCCCCTTCCCTACCTCAACCTCCCCCCTCCCCCCCTCCCGTTCCCAGAACAAATTACAGGGTATAAACTTCAACAATCATAATCAATCCTAATCTAAACAATTATGACATTTCACATCTCTTGTTTCTTCAATTCCCTAATTACCCGCCTAGCTTTATTACTTAAAGACACACTAAATATCTATATAATCATTCATAACCTATCTGCAATTTCTTATTCCGATATTTATTTTGAATATAATCTATCCACCTTCTCCAGTCTCTTAAATATCTTTCATTTGAATGATCCTTCAGGTACGCCGAGATTTTTGCCATTTCCGCTAGATTTATAACTTTCATTGTCCACTCTTGGATTGTAGGTAAATCTTGCTTCTTCCAATATTGTGCCACCAACAGTCTTGCTGCAGTTATTAAATTCAAAATCAATTTAGTCTCTATAACTGTACAATCCGTAACTATACCCAAAAGAAACAGCTGTGGTGTAAATTTCAACCTCTTTTTAAGAATATTTTGTAAAATCCACCAGATTTTAATCCAAAACGCTTTAACCTTTTTACATGTCCACCAAATGTGAAAATAAGTAGCATCCTCACAATTACATCTCCAACATTTTGGTTGTACATTCGGATACATACGAGATAACTTTTTTGGATCTAGATGCCATCTATAAAACATTTTATAAAAGTTCTCCCTTAAATTTTGCGCTTTGGTAAATTTCACATTTGTTACCCATATTTTCTCCCACGTTTCCATCATTATTGGCTGTTCAAAATTCTGCGCCCATTTTATCATACAGTCCTTAACTAGCTCTGTTTCCGAGTCCATCTCTATCAGTATATTATACAATCTTTTTATATGCATTGGGCTTTGATCTCTAATTTGTTTAATTAAATTTTCATCACTTTGTATAACACCAGTTTTCTGGTCTTTTCTCCATCTGGCTTGTAATTGTACATATTGAAACCATGTTTGAATTATTTTCTCCTCTTTCAACACATTCACAGATTTTAATTTTAATATACCTCCCTCCATAATGAGAATATCTTTATACGTAATTACATCCTGTCTACATTCTATACTCGTATTCTCTATTGCGTGCCTGGGTGCTGTCCATATAGGTATTTTTTCATTTAACTTATATTGATATTTCTTCCAGATAAAGCATTTCTCAGTATATGACTCTTAAATGCTCTGTCCACCCTTTTTTCATACACTAAATAAGCATGCCAACCATAGACCAGATCATACCCTTCAATATTCAATATCCTTCCATTTGTTAAATTAATCCAATCACTAATTGCTGATAAAACAGCTGCTTCATAGTACAATTTTAAATTTGGCATTTTCAGTCCTCCTCTTTCTCGTATGTCCTGCATTATTTTCAATTTTATCCTTGGTTTCTTACCTTGCCATACGAACTTATTAATACCTTTCTGCCACTCTTCCAGGTTGGCATCCTTTTTTAGTATTGGTATCATTTGAAAGAGGAACAAAAACCTAGGCAACACATTCATTTTTATAACTGCTATTCTACCCAACAAGGACAATTGTAGTTTTTTCCAATTATCCATTTCAACTTGTATTTTATGCCATATCAATTCATAATTATACTTATACAATTTACCATTAGAAGATGCAATATAAACTCCTAAATACTTGACTTTTTTAACTATTTCACATCCCGTTACCCTTTGTAACTCCTCTTTTTGATTAGCTGTCATATTTTTAACTATCATCTTTGTTTTTCCAATGTTTATCTTAAACCCAGATACTTGACCATACTGTTTTATTATATCAATCAAAACCTTTGCTGATTCCACTGGATGAGTTAAGGTCATAACCAAATCATCTGCAAATGCCCGTATCTTATATTCATAATCTCTAACTTTGATTCCCTTTATCCCATCTGCATTACGTATTTTATTTAACAGCAACTCCAAAGTTAATATAAATAATAATGGCGATAAGGGACATCCCTGCCTCGTGCCTTTTTCAATTTTAAAAGTTTCTGTCAAACTGCCATTAATAATTATCTGAGCTGTCTGTTCCTGATATATTGCTTTTATGGACTGCATAAAGCAATTCCCAAATTGCATCCTATTGACCACTCTCAATAAAAATTGCCAATCTAATCGATCAAAAGCTTTTTCCGCATCCAGAAATATAAGCACCGCAGGGATTTGGTTATTCCTTTCCAAATGTTCCAATATGTCAACAATTTGTCTTACATTATTTTTCATTTGTCTACCTTGTATAAAACCAGTTTGGTCAGCATGAATCGTCTTCTGCATTACTAGCATTAACCTATTTGCCAATATCTTAGC